AGGCCAGATGAAAGGTGAGTCTGACATAATGATTTCTTTTTTTAATGTCTATATAAAAAAAACTAGCCATAATTCCTGCCCTCAAGGGGCTTTCAGTCTAGAAGAGGAAGTAAGACATGTATACAAATAACAACAATAAATAACAACAATTTAAATTAGAATATGATCTCTTGAACAAATTCGATTAATGGCAAATAAAAGCAGATGACATTCATATGTAGTTACTGGGCCTCAAAAATAACTAATGGCAGAAGCTAGAGAACTTTTAATAATCAATCATCTTTTACATTTCATGCACATTGTTCTAGTGGCAAAATTCTCTGCTAGAAATACAGCAATGTGCAGTAATTACCATGACTACCTAATGAATAAGCATTTTATTAAGCACCTACTAAGTTCCAGTCATTGAGCTAGGTACTGGGGATGCAAATACAAACATGAGTCATCCTCTGTTCTCAAGAAGCTTACATTTAACTGGGGAATATAATGTGTTCACAGATAAGTAAAGATAGGATATATACAAAATAAATTAAGCTGAGTCTTGAAATATATAAATTGTCATAAAATGAGGATGGTTTTTAAAAATGAGGTTTAAAAAACTGAAAGCTGCAAGGAGAATAACCAAAGATTTGATGGCATAAGAAAGTGGAAAAGATCAGCACCACATGCTACAGGAATGAATAAGAGAGGTGGAGTCATGTGTAATATCGATGTAAGGTGTTTATTAATTTAATACCACAAGAGAGGAAAATGCCCTGGAAGGGTAAACCAAACATTTGAAAGATTACATGGACAAAGCCCTACTTGGGAACTCAAGGAACTTGCAACCTAGTGACATAATACATACAAAGTAACTGTACGGTAAACTTTGTAAAGAAGGAATAAAAAGTACTATGGAAGCATGAGGTGAAAGCAAGTTACTTCCCTGTGAAACAACGTTTACTGGAGAAAGTAATATCTGAAAAAGGCCTTGAATGATTGATAGGATTTTGATGAGTTAGGGTGAATAGGAAGGGGTGCTTTTCTAGGGGGAAAAACATTTTAGTTAATGTTCAGATAGGAAGATTTATACTTATATACTTAAGTATACTTAAGAAGGGGTAAGTGGTCTAGGAAGTGTGAAATGAAATGGGAGACAAAGCTGGAAAGGTAGTTTGGAGTCAGACTGTGGAAATCCCTTGAATGCCAGACTGAGAAATCTGGATAAGAAATGTAAAATCTATCATATTATCAGGGTAGTTAGCACCAAATTTAGGGATCACACCAAAGACTCATACCAAATGAATAGGGGACAATGAGTGAACTCAGAGTTGGCAAGACAGAAACTTGATGTGTTGCACTGGTAAAAAACTTCTGCAGCTTTGAATACACAAAAGGCTTTGCTACTGTCACTACTCACATAGCTGTCAAGCTATTTTATAAAAATCTGACTTTGCTTTTACTTGGCAAAAACTTCTATATATAGGCCACCCCATTTAACTGTACTATCATTCAGCCAGTCTCCCATTATCAAAACCATAAGAAGATCTTGGTCTCTCTTCTCTACTATATCTCTCATAACTAATCAGTTAGTAGGTCCTGTCAGCTCTACTTCCACATTTATCCCATTCTCTCCTACTTCCACTGTCACCATATTAGTACAGACTCTCAATTCTTCCCACTTTCACTGTCTTCCCCAATCCAATTGATCCTTCAGAACACTTTCACAATAAACTTAATAAATATTCTGATCAGAGCAGAGATTGTGGTTGCTGTTTTTTACTTTGTCTCCCCAAGGCTTAGTACAGTGCCTGGCACGTAGTAGATGCTTAATAAACGCTTGTTGACTTGACAGAATGAAACTGGCTAACAGGGATTTGAAACTCAAAATAGAAAAAAGTAAAAGGGCACTTAGTGCTCTTTTACATTTGGTTAAGTTCAAGTCACCAGGTGTGAATGAACCATTATACCAAAAGAATTTAATGGTGTGATTGCTAAGCCAGTGTAGGTGATCTATGAAAAATCATGGAGAATGCCATAGAAACAGAGGAGTGAAAAAGTTATCCTGGTGTTTAAAGAAAAAGAGAAAGAAGAGGGAACCATCTACAAATGAGAGACAAGTTAGCTCCTTAATTCCTGGCAATAAAGATGGTTTGTGAAGATTTAGAAAGGGAAGCAGATATCACAAAGAGCCAGTATTATCAACTGGTCACTCCAGATGAATGAACTTCATTTCCTTTTTAAGCAATGTTATCAAATTGGTAGGTTAAAAGAGTGCTGTAGAGATAGCTCACCTAGACTTCATCAAGTTGTCTTTGTGAACAAGAGGGAAAACATGGAGCTAGACAACAGCTGAGTTAGATTCAGAAATGGCTGAACTGATCCAAAAAGCAGTCACTGTTACATGTCAACTAAGGTCTCTAGTGGAAGTTCCCAGGGATCTGTCTTTGGCTGCTTTCTAAAAAACTGATTTGGCTGAAATTGCTCTCGCCATGGTTACCAAAGATCTTTCTGTTAGCTTTTCTGGCTTTTTCTTAATACTCACCCTCCCTGAGCCTTCCTGCAGCTTTGAACTGTTTCCTTCTCCTGGAAATTCTTCCCTCAATTCTCTCACTCTCTTTCTTCTGGTTCTCCTCCTGCCTCTTTTCACTCATTCTTAAGTCTCTGTGACTGGACCATCATCTCCTCTGCCTGTCCCCTCTGCTCTCAGGGGACTCTCCTCTTTTCTCTCTACAGCAGGGACTCTTAACCTGTACTCCGTGAACGTTAAAAAAAAATACACACACACACACACACAAAAAAAAAACCTTTGATAACCTTTGAAACCATTGGTTTCCTTTGTAATCCTATGTCTTTTTTTTTTTTAATACATTTAAAAACATTATTCTGAGAAGGGATCCACAGGCTTCACGGACTGCCAAAGAGGTCCATGACACAAAAAATATTAAGAATTCCTACTCTACAGTATCAGTCACCATGGGTTCAATGATCACTTTTAGGCAGCCAACTCTCAGATCTAAATATCCAGCCATAACCTCTCTCCTGAGCTCCATTCCCACATCACCAACTGCCTGTTAGATATCTCCAAGTAAGACAAACATCTGTTAAGCACTTAGCACAGTGCCTGGCACAGAGTTGGCTCTTAATAAATGTTTGTTCCTTTCCCCTACTTCCATCCAGGTGTCCTATAGGCAAAATGTGTCTAAAACAGATGTCACCTTCCAATCTAAATCCATTCTCCCTCCCCCCCACCCAAACTTCTGTTGACAACACATCCTTTGTTACCTAGATTAGTTAACTTCCAGTCATTATTTACTCTTTCTTCCCCCTCATTTCCCATATACAATCTATTGCTAAGTCTTGTTGATTTTACCATCACAGTATCTCTTATACCTATCCCCTTCCTTCTACTCACATACTACTTTAGGCTTTTATCACCTCTCACCTGGACTATTGCAAAGCCCTCCTAACTGGTCTCCTCAAGTTTCGCCCCTTTCCAATCTATTCTCCACACATCTGCTGAAGGAATTTTAAATAAAGCCCAGGTCTAACCATTTCACTCCCCTATTCTTTAAATTTAAGTAGCTCCCTATTACTTCGAGGATTAAATACAAAATTGGCTTGGCATTTAAAGCGTTTTATAATTTGGCTCCTACCTACCTTTCCAAACTTGATTTTATTACCCTTCGTGAACTTGTTCCGGCCAAATTGTCCTACTTACTATGTCTACATGAACTGTGCATTCCTTTTGTTTTGGTGCCTCTGTCCCCCCTGCTCCAAATTTTTATTTCCTATGCATCTTTGAATCTTTAACTTTCCTTCAAGTCTCAGTTCAGGTGCCACCTCCTACAGGAAGGTCCTCTTAGTTCCTCTAGTATTGGGTGCTGTTCTTCCTCCTTTTATATTTACTGACCTTTTTACCTGGAGATAGAATGTAAACTCCTTGAGGGTAGTTGAAGGCCCCCCCCCATTTTTGTCTTTTTTATCCATAATGCTTTGAACATACTAGGCATTTAATACAAGTTTGCCGAATTGAACTAAATTGAAGGAAGGCATAAATGCATGCTAATATTATGGCAGATGATGCAAAGCTGGAAAGTTAATACAATGGATGACAGGATCCAAACAGATCTTGAGAGGCTAAGATAGGCCAAATCTAATGAGATGCAATAGGGGAAAAAAATGTGAGGTCCGTATACACTTAAGTTCCAAAAAATTGTCTTTCCAAATACAAGATGGGAGAGGCAGGGGTAGAAAACAGCTCACATAACGTGGCAGCCAAAAAAAGCTAACTCAATCTTCTGCTGCGTTTGGAGAAGTACTGTGTCCAGAAAAAAAAAAGGAAATGATAATTTCCGATGTACATTGCCCTGGCCAAACCTCCTCTGGAGGACTGTTTTCGGTTTTTGGGTGGCATAGTTTAAGATGGACGTTCTGGCTAACTGGAGAGAACCCAGAGGAAGTATGACCAGGAAAGTAAGGAGATTATGTTACTCAGGGAGTGAATGAAGATACTTAACTCTGGTGAGAACAAGACTTAGGGAAACCCAACTGCGGTCCTCCGCGAAGACAGACCCCCCCAAATATAGGAAGAGGAATCAGACTGAACAGAAGTTAGCCAAAGGACAGAGCAAAGCACCAAAGGTGGAAGACGTCCTTAATATAACCATCAGAGCTATTCCAAAGGAGGAGGGGCTGTCAGAAGAGGTGGTGAGCTCCCCAGCACCAGAGGGAGCATCACTCCCAAGCTAATGGAGGAAATTCTGGCTCAGGTACAGCTCAGACTGTCCTTCGAGGGGCCGCCCGAGTGCAGATTCTGGGAGCCTCCAGCCCCGTGGAAAGGGGCGGGACGGGCCAGGAGCGGAGCCCAGAGCACGAAAGGAGGGGAGGCTGGGGGACAGCGACGGACACCCCGAGGGGACGGTGCTGGGGGGTGGGGAGCGAGGAGAGGCGGAGGCATTGGGGAGAGGAGCGGCCGGCGGAAGGGGACGAGGGCGCGTCGAATCCCTCCGCCCCATTACCTCCTTGTCCGGGACCCACTGCGGCTCGTCGAGGCCAAAGGGGCTGCTGAAGGCCTGGTGCTCGGGGACCATGCGCAACCCGCTGGGCGAGCGCACCAGCTTCTTGCCATCGCGGCGTAGGGCCGCCCCGCCAGCCGCCGCCACAGACGAGGAGGACATGGCTCCTCGAACCGGCCCTGGGCTGCCCAGCGGACAGTTTCCCAACCTTAGCCTCCGTGTCCCGTCCCACCGCGAAGAACAGCCCAGCTACCCTATCGACACACCCGCCGATCCCCGCCCTCCAATCGCCGCTACAGCTCCGCCCTCGTCAGTCTTCTCTGAGCCAATCCAGAGCTAGAGCACCACTCAGCCTCCGCGCATGCGCAAGGAGGGCGGGGCGGGGCGGGGAGGTGCAATTTCCCTAGAGGCTTGGAAAAGAATGAGGGATGAGCCAATCAGCGAGCGGCGCCCCGAAGGCAGCTGCTCCGGTGATTGGAGGAGGCGGAGTCGTTGCCCATCATTGGCCTGGGCCGCCGCGCGGAGGACGAACCGCTCCAAGACAACTGAGCCGAGGTGAACAGGCGGGTGGCGTCCCGGGACGGGCGCCCGCTCCTGGATGTGGGATGCTACCGGAAGGCGAGGTGGGTCCCAGGAGGTCCCAGCTTCGGGACCGCTCGGAGCTCGGAAGTGGGCGGGGTATCTCGGCTCGTCGCCAGCCTTCGAGGCGGGCCCTGGCACTGACCCGCGGCCCAAGCGAGGGAAGGGACCCTGGATTCCTGGAAGGGCAGCCGGGAGAGCGGAAGAACCGAGGGACCTGACCCCAGACTAAACCGCAGAAGAATAACTCACGTTTATGTAACACTATGCAAAGTGTTTCTTATGTTCGATAATATAAACATTCGCCTTTTTACAGGTAAGAAAATCGAGGCCCAGAGAGGGGAGGTGACTTATCCTGGAGGCAATCAGGGAGGACTTCCTGGAGCCTCCTGACCAGGAAGTGAGTGTTATGGTCAGACCTGTTCTCTAAACACAGCAGTTTGGCTCTTGTGCGGATGTTGGATTGGAGACGGATCTGGAGGCAGGAGGCCAAGTAAGTCGCAGAGGTGCTGGGTGAGGAGTAGCATCCATGTGAGTGGCAAGGGGACACGTGCGAGCCACGTTGGAGGCAGACCTGGGGAGACTTGATAATCGATGGGGTGTGGGCATTCAGTGAGAGTGAAGAGTCACAAAGATGACTCCGAGGTGGTAAAATGGAGAGAATTAAAAGATGGGGGTGCCCTTGGCTAAAATTTGGAAATTAGGAGAGGAGTGGGGTGGGGAATCGGGGGCCGGGGTCGGGGAAGATAATCAGATGTTTTGTTGATGTTGAGTTTGAGATGCCTGTGGGGCATCCAGGTGGAGATGTCCAGGAGGCATTTGGAGACTAGAGTTCTGGAGAGAGGTGAGGGCTGGGATCGTAGATTTGGGAGTGGTTTGCACTGAGGTGTTAATTGAACCTGTGGGAGCTTATGAGGTTATCTAGAGAGTTTGGAGAGAGTAGAGGGCTCTGGACGGAGCCCTGAGGTGTATGCATTCTTAAGTGGTGAAACGCAGATAATGGTCCCTCAAAGGAAACAAAAAGTGATCTGACCGGTGGGACATAATCGACCTGGGAGATAACTAAATAAAATATAAGCTCCACTGTTTGGCACTTAAAGCTCTTCACGACCTGGCCACCTCTTATCTTTCTATTGTCCCCTCAATGTTTTCTGCAAGGCAGGTATACTTGCGATTCCACATATATGACTTTTTACCTCCTGGATCTTCCACTTTTCACTGACTGTCCTTCCCTACCTGAAATGCTGTGCCTCCTCACTTCTGCTTCTTAAAGTCATTGGTTTCCTTCAGTGAAACTTGAATCTCAGCTCAAGTGCTGGCTTTTGCAGGAGGTCTTTTCTGGTCTCAGTAGCTATTAGGGCTCTCCCATCCAAGGAGACTTTGTTTCTGTTTCTGTTTGTTAACCTGTTGTCTCTTCTTCCCCCTCACCCCCAAGATGCAAACAGCTTTTTAATTTTTGTCTTTGTATCTTCTGTAGCTAACTCAGTGCCTGACCCATAATAGGCATTTATTTTTATTTATTAAGCAATTGGGGTTAAGTGACTTGCCCAGGGTCACACAGCTAGTAAGTGTCAAGTGTTTGGTCTGAGGCTGGATTTGAACTCAGGTCCTCCTGACTGCAGGGCCAGTGCTCTATCCACTGGCCCACCTATCTGCCCCTGTATAATAGGCATTTATTAAATGGTTTTGGGGTTTTTGGTTTTTTTTTTTTTTTTTGGTTTTTTTCAGTATCTTGAGTACCCAGGCAGAGGTTACGGCTAGATATTTAGATCTGGGCATCAACTGCATAAAAATGTTGGTTGAACCCGTGGTAACTGATAAGAGATATTGTAAAGAAGGGATTCTTAATGCTTTCTGTGTCATGGTTTCCTTTGGCATTCTGATGATGCCTGTGAACCTTTTAAAGACTAATGTTTTTAAATTAACAAAATAAAAAAACAGAATTACAAAGGAAACCAATGTAAGAGCTCCTGCTATAGAGAGAAAAGTAGAGAGGTTTTAGAATGGCATAGAGGACATTAATTCTGTTGGGGGCAAACGACATGTACATATACAAGTGTATATAAGACATGTAAAAAGTAAATATTCAAGGAACTATCCAACTCTAAACTCAGTGGTATGTAATTGATAGCTCTTTATTAGACTATAAACTCCCTGAGAGCAGCAACTTATAAGAACCAATTTAATCCTGTAAGCCCTCTGTGCTAGGATCAGACTTTATCATCCCAACATCCTGCACTATAGGTATTATAATGTTGAATGGCTTCTTAGTACTTTAAAACTGGAAGGAACCTTGCTGATCATTGTCATTTTATAGATGAGGAAACCGAGGGCTAAAGAGGCCACTCAATGAGTTAGTGGCAAAGCCAGGACCAAAACCTAGGTCTTCTAACTCCTAGTCCAGTAGTCTTTCCATTGTAAAATGATGCCTACAAGGACTAGTCCTAGGCTTCTTTCCCTCTGTTATCATTACCCTGACTTATCCAGATGCCTCTCACATCAGCAGTTCTCTGCCTGACCCTTCCCCATGACGTCTGTCTAATTCCTGTTATGTCCCTCCTCAGGATGTCAGCACAAATGAGATAGGAGGGCGTAAACACTAAATTCAAAGGAAAGCCCAGGCAAAATACTATGGATAAAAGAAAAAGGGGGAAGAATCAGCAGTCTCTTTGTGGATATGTTCAGCACCTTCTTTCAGTGATCCAGTGTATAGCACCACCAAAAATCTTTCAATGCCATATCATGGCATGGAGGGAACCCTGGGTTTTCAAAGTCCATCCCAGCATGCAGCCATCTCTAGAAGCCACCACCAACCTGGGGAAAATTTGAGAAGAAACTGTCTTAGGATCTGCCTAGCAGAGTGCGTGAGGTCTTTATTACAAGAAAATTAGTCACCAGTTGATCTTTTTTTTTTTTAGCAACAATTCATGAAACTATTTACTATTTATGGAGGATTTTTATTTTCTTTGATAGGGAGAATACTTACACCAGTGAAGTTGTGACACTTGAAGTATTGAAGATACGTGTGTCATAGCCTCCTACCAAATTATAGGTAAGCTCCATGAAGTCAGGGACTGGATATTATTGAAACATTTAACAAAAAAAATTTTTTTTAATTTAAATTTGATACGTTTTGTTTTTACATTACAAACATTTACAGATTATTCCCACTTCATGAAGTCTTTTGTAACAAAATTAACAAAATTTTATAACAAAATTAAAACTAATAGTGTACAGTGACCTCTCTGGAAAGCACATGCAACATTTTACATCTATAGCACCTTCCACCACATCTCTGTTTTTATAAACAGAAATATATTTTCTGTCCCTCGAATGTCCCAACCTAGAAAGAAAAACAGATTTCTTGTAATAAATACACATTAGCAATATTTTTAAAAATGTAAATATTTTGTATTGACACAACACAAACAAATACATAAATAGTTCCTCAGGAACAAAGTAGGCTTTCACAGAACTTGTTGGTTTCTAAGTTTTAGTATCCTGATTGCTAATAAAAAGGATGGCTATGTTCTTTAACTTTGATGGTATGGTAACAACTTATACTTGGACAATATTGTTGTCTTTTATTGTTGTCTTTATTTAAATTGCAGTAGTAATTTTTGCATGTGGTTGTTTTATGGCACTCTTTTCTTTCTATATGACTGTTTGCTAAGCCACTGTTATTTGATATTATTTTGATTTCCTTCTTTGTTATAAAAAAATAGTACTGCTATGAATATTTTTGTACACATGGGTCTTTTTTGCTGTCAGCAACCTTGGAGATATAAACTCAAGGGTGGAGTCTTAGGTCCAATGGTATGAACAATTCAGTAATTTTTATTGAATAATTGCAAATTATTTTCTGAAAGTATTGGACTACTTCTCTGCCAGCATTGAATTAATTTGCAGATCTTTGCACAGATCCTCCAACATTGAATTTACTCTCTTGTCATTTTAGGGAGGAACCTTGGCAAAGTGAATAGAGAGCTAGCCTCAAAGCCAGAGCCAAGACTGCCCACCTCACACAATGCCTAGCTGTGTGATCTTGGACAAGTGACTTTACCTCTCAGTGCTCTGTTTTCTAAGACAATAAGTTACAGAGACGGTGTAGATCAGTATTGGCTAAGGAAATTCCTCACCTGGTGTTCCATTCTTCAGTGAAAGCAGAGGTCTAGTTCTCAGCCCTGTTAATCTTCTTTGTTAATTGGATTAATTTGAGGTTTCCTCAGAGTTATTTTTAATTGCATTTTTCTGATTATTAGTAAATTTGAACAATTTTGAAGATGGTTGACAGTTTAAATTTCTTCTTTTGAAAACTTTCATATCCTTTGTGTTTTGGTGAATAGCTCATAATTTTACATAGATAAAACTCTTTGAAAACCTTAAAGTCTTAAATGCTAGTTATTTTTTTATGATTTCAGATTTATGTCAGTTCCCTAGACTTTTGGATGCCAGAACCCCTCAGTATTAAAGATTATAATTAAATTTGGTCTTTTGTCTCCCTCACATCCTATTACATTACCTCCTACCTTTCCAGTCTTCTTACACTTTACACTCCTCCACACACTGTGTGATCCAGATGCACTGGCCTCCTTGCTCTTCCTCATTCCATCTCCAAACTGAGTATTTTCACATTCTTTTATTCCTGGAATGCTGTCCTTTCTCATCTCTGCCTCCTAGCTTCGTTCAGGTCTCAGCTAAAGTCCTACCTTCTGCAAGAAGAATTTCCAAGTCCTCCTTAATCTTAATGCCTTCCCACTGAGACCACTCCCATTTTATCCTGTACATCTCTTGTTTCTACATCCTTGTTTATGTGTTGCTCCTCCATTAGACTGTGGGCTCTTTGAGAGCAGAAACTGTTTTCTGCCTTTCTGTCCACCTGTGCTTAGCACAGTGCCTGGCCTATAGTAGGCACTTAATAAATATTAGTTGGCTAAATTAAAAAAAAAAATCATCAGTAGGTATATGCAGTTTACCTGCCCCTCTTCCCTCTGTGTTTCTTGATTCTATTTTTACTAGTAGAATTTTTTTTTGTTTCCTTTGCTCAACTAATGTAAGAATGTGGTGTGAATATGCATGAACTATTCCTACTTCCCTTTTCCACATCCCTCTCTACTCTTTGTTTGAATGACCTTTATGATTTCAGTATATATTAAGTCATTTCATCTGCCTATCCTTCCTTTCCTTTCCTTTTTCTAGCCTTCCGTCTGGTCAGTTTTCATGAGGTGGAACTGTTAAGGGACAACAGAATTGTCTCATCTTTCTAGGATGTGAACAGTGATTCAACACTTAATTTTTCTTGCTAAGTCTAATCAAGAAGCATTTATTATGCACCTACTTTGTAGCAGGCCCTGTATTAAGTCCTAGAAATATAAAGAAAGGTCAAAAACTATCCCTGCCCTTTAGGAACTCACAGTCTAATGGGGGAAACCACATAGGAACAACTATGTGCAAACAAGAGATATACAGGATCAGTTGGAGATAATCACAGTGGAAAGGCACGAGAATTAAGAAGGGGCCTAGAAAGATTTCATGCATAAGGTGAGATTTTAGCTGAGACCTGAAGAAAGCCAGGGAAGCTAGGAAATAGAAATGAAGAAGGTTAAGAATTCAGATAATGTGGGGTAGCCCTTTGACAGTGTATAAAGTAAGGAGACGGTGTCTTCTTAGAGGAACAATAGCAAGGAGGCCAGTGTCACTGCATCATAGAGTATATGGAGGGGAGTAGGCTGTAAGAAAACTGGAAAAGTAGAGAAGGCCCAGGTTGTGAAGAGCTTTAAAAGCCAAAAATTGGATCTTCTGTTTAATCCTGAAGGTAATAAGAAGTCACTGGAGTTTATTGAATTAGGGGAGAGGGCAGAAGGAAGGTTTGACTTCGTCAGACCTGCTCTTTAGGAAGATCACTTTGCAAGTGATCTTCAGAGACTGAAGGCTGAGAGACAAACCAGAACTTATTTCAGTAGGCCGGGCATGAGGTGTGGGCCTGTACCAGAGTGGCAGTGACAGAGGAGAGAAGGAGGCATATAGGAGAAATGTTAAGAAGGTAAAATTGAAAGAACTTGGCAACAGATTGGGTGTGGAGGGTGAGAGATAAGTTGAAGATGATGCCCAGCCTGGGTACCTGAAAGGATGGATGATCATGTCCTCCACAGTCATTTCCCCAAAACGACAATGAGTCCTATTTTGGAATTGTTGAGTTTAAGAAGTCTATAGGACACCCAGCTTGAGGTATCTAATAGGCAGTTGGAGATGTGAGACTAGTGCTCAGGAGAGGTTGGGGCTGGATAAGTGATCTGAGAATCATCTCCTTAGAGGTGATATTTGAACCCATGGGAGTTGGTGAGATCACTACGTGAAATAGTATAGTGGGAGAAGAAAAGAGGGCCCAGGAAAGAACCTAAAAGACACTCATGGTTAGTGGGTCTGACCTAGATGAAGATGCATCAAAAGAGACTGAGGAGTAGTCAGAGAGAACCAGGAGAGAATAATTTCCCAAAAGTCTAGAGAGAAGGGAATATTCCAGGAGAAGAGGGTGAAGAGAAATGTCATAGGTTGCAGAGGAGTCATGAAGGATGAGAATTGAGAGAGGACCATGAGATTTGGTAATTAAGAGATTATTGGTAACTTTGGAGAGAGCAGTTTCAATCGGTTTATGAAGTTGGAAGCCAGATTGCAGAGTTAAGAAAAGAATCAGTCAATAAACATTAAGTGCCTAGTATGTGCCAGTCATGGTGCTAGGTGCTAGGGATACAAAGAAAATCATAAGACAGTCCCTGCCCTCAAGGAGCTCCTAGTCCAATGGGAGAAGACAACACATAAAAAGAAGATGAAAAACTGGATGGGAAATGATCTGAGGAGGTGTGAGTTTCCAAGTTGATTTCATCTTGCAGAATGATGAGTTTCTGGAGATAATGAAGTCCAGGAAAGTAACCAGGTGGGAAATGAAGAGGATTCCCTGGGTATCATCCTTCAATAGTGGAGCAAGTGAGAGGAGATCTCTAATGTCCATCCTTCATTCTCTCCAGTCAGGTGGTGGAGAAAGAGAGGAAAGGGAGTAGAGCCACTGACTATAAATGGTCTTCTTAAGGAGTTTGTCACAGAAGGGAGAGATACAGGACAACAGCTAGCAAGGATGGTCGAATTAAGTGAGAGTTTTTCATAGTGGTGGAGACATGGGCAATTTTGTAGACAATAGGGAAGCAGCTAGTAAACAGGAAGAAATTGAAGATTAGTGAGAAAGGAAGTCTTAGAAGAGACAATTTGCTAGAGAAGAAGGAATGGAATGGACTCTCGTGTGTGTGTGTGTGTGTGTGTGTGTGTGTGTGTGTGTGTGTGTGTG